AGCAGGAAATGTCTCCCTGTGCAGGTTCAACAATATACTCAAACAGACCACCTCAACGCTAAAGCAGGAGTAACTGTGACTTGAGAGGACACAAAACTTAACAGTGCCATTGGTTTTACATCCTACTTCTGAGAGGAATAGAGTGGAACTGCCTCATGGTGAACCACAGTTATGATAATGCCTGTGTGGCCTTTAAAGTATAACGAGAGTGTGAGACAGCCTGCTAAATGTATAACAAGCAACCATGTAAAATAAGTTGTCCACCACTCTTGACTTGGGCCTTATTTCTGTAGCTACAGACTAATAATACTGCTTTCTTGTTCGCTAGCTGTTGTGCAGATTCTTACGAGCATGGTTTTCCCCTGGGAGAAAGAGAGCTCCCCATTCCTTAGTTCAGGTTAAGCAAGCTATAGATACAGAGCAGATGGAGCAAAGAGTTTAATCCTACGGGGTCGTTGCTTTTCTGGCTACGAGCTAATGATGTCCTTACCCACAGCATTATTTCTGTGCTTAGAATTACACAGAGAGCAACTTTCCTAGATGAGGACTAGAAAGTTCAGAGTTTGTAGGATTGAGCATCTAATTGCTCCTTTCAAAACATAATTACATTCTACACACAGTTTTAAGAGCTACTTGGGTCTTTTGCACATCTGTTCACTCTGTGAATTACTTAAAGCAAAAAAGTGAGTATACAAACCAGAAATGCATTTTATGCTACTTAAACACTCTATTTTCTGTCTCCTGGGGAGTTCATAGAGAATGATTTCACATTTTTCTTAAAAAGCAAGAAGGGCCCTTCTTGCCATGGTAATAATCTCATTTTTCAGGAATATGGTTTACTATCTCACTATTGTATTAAAGTATCCTTAGATAAAATGTCCAGAAATTTCAAACTGATGAAAAGGACACTGTTTAAATAGAGATAATAAGTTTCAAACATATCACTAAAACTACTTTAAACACCATCAGCAGAAAAAGATCTAAAGGCTCCTCCCATTAATTTGAATACTTTCTGTTGCATTCATGCATTTTTCCATTGTATAATTAAATATGCCTTTCTACAGAGGATGGTGAAGGCAATTCACTCTCTCTTAGCCAATCCGATGGGAAAATAACTGCAGTATGGGTCGTCCATTAATGCAGAAAGTATCTGTACTGCAGACTATTGTGTAGCTATTTAGACATAAACCAACACATGCTTCTAATCCATACAGACCTAGTCCTTGCAGATCCCTTCCCTTGATACCTGTTGAGCCTGTTGTATTCCAGTGATAGGTTAGAAAGGCATAAAAGCCTGCCTGCCCGGCACAATTTAGACTCCTTTTTGTTTTTCCTTTTTCTTATTTAATCTAGCTGTGAAGTTAGCTCTACTGAAACAACTCAACACATACGTACGTAATGGTTTGCTGATGATTATGTTTATTAAAGATTAAAATAGAAAGGTGGGTATAATCAAGCCACCAACAGATTTGAAACAACATCTTGCTGCAGGTGTTTCAGTGGTGTTCTAAGTTGAATTGTAAAATTATTTCCCATACAGACTTATTGGTCTTATATATCTGCTGCTTGCTGACATCATCAATAATTTAGCATTGCAGATACCCAGAAGAACATGTCATATTTTCTTCTTGCTCACAACTATGTTTGCTTTCAGACTTATGTCTATATATTTTTCTTTTTCCTCAGGTAATGCATTTGTGGTGAGCCTGGCTTTGGCTGATCTGGTGGTGGCCTTGTATCCGTACCCACTGGTGCTCTTAGCTATTTTCCACAATGGATGGACTTTGGGTGAAATGCACTGTAAAGTGAGTGGCTTTGTGATGGGACTCAGTGTAATTGGCTCCATTTTCAACATCACTGCAATTGCAATAAACCGATATTGCTATATATGTCATAGTTTTGCCTATGACAAAGTGTACAGCTGTTGGAACACAATGCTGTATGTCTCCTTAGTCTGGGTATTGACAGTAATTGCAACTGTGCCAAATTTTTTTGTTGGCTCTTTAAGGTATGATCCACGCATCTACTCATGCACATTTGTACAGACTGCAAGCTCCTACTATACAATAGCTGTTGTGGTAATTCACTTCATCGTCCCTATCACCATTGTGAGCTTCTGCTACCTTCGAATTTGGGTTTTAGTGCTTCAAGTTAGAAGACGAGTCAAGTCAGAAACAAAGCCAAGACTGAAGCCAAGTGACTTCAGAAACTTTCTCACCATGTTTGTGGTTTTTGTGATTTTTGCCTTTTGCTGGGCACCTCTAAACTTCATTGGACTGGCTGTAGCCATTGATCCTATGGAAATGGCACCAAAGGTTCCTGAATGGTTATTCATTGTAAGCTACTTCATGGCCTATTTCAACAGCTGCCTTAATGCAGTAATATATGGACTTCTTAACCAGAATTTTCGGAATGAATACAAACGAATTTTAATGTCACTGTGGATGCCCAGACTTTTCTTCCAGGATACATCCAAAGGAGGAACTGATGGTCAGAAGAGCAAGCCTTCTCCTGCTTTAAACAACAATGACCAAATGAAAACTGACACTTTATAAATGTGTAATAGTCAATGCAAAAGTCTATAATGGAGAACTCTAAAAATATAGCTGTAATGTTGTGGTCATTCTTGCTTACTTTTGGGGGCTTTCCATTTGGATGACACTTTGTGACTGGAACACTGTCTTCTTGATAAAGCACATTGCTCTCAATTAATGATTTATACAAAATATAAATTGAAAATGTTTCAGAATTAAAGCAGCAGGTGAGTGCAAGCTGGTTTAGTTCTGAGGGCTGAATTCTACTCCCAGACATGTGAATGTGGCGGTTTTTACTTCAGTGGGAATTTTGCATTCTTTATACAAGGTCAAGATTAATTTTTTGGATGATGTAGTGATAGTACTTGTCTATGGGCACAGCAGTTCATCAAGGCTGTGGCGTGACATTTTCCTCCCTCCTGTATCTGAACAAGAGGGTGAAGCAGATACTCTGTTTTCCACGCATAAACTAAACCACATTTCAGTGCATGTACTGGTGGCAGTAGTAGTATCTTTGAATCAAACTTGTAAACTGGAATGCAGTTTATTTCTGTAAAGCAAATATTAACATTAGAGCCTTTCGTCACAGGTTTTTCATACTTACATACACTGAGATAAGGAATACAGAGTATCCACTCTGTTCACCTTCCGTGGTTGATTTTAGAGTAAATAACATAATACAAATTATCTGTTTCTTACACATTTACTTTGAGCAATATTCTTCCTTTAGAGAGGATTGAATTGATTGAACTCCATTTATTTACCTAATTATATACATCCAATGTAATCTGATGCACTTTAGCACACCTTACACATTTGCAACAGCCTGGAAGTTACAGCGTATGACTGGTGATGGTCTGGAGTTGCAATTGAACACCAGGCAGGATATCCTAGATCATCTCAAATGATGTTAGACCAAAAGAAGAAGCCCTTTTGACCATAATGGTAGCTGAGATACCTGCCTCACATGTCTACATCTAATCTTAAGCAAAATCCACTGTTGGTGTCTGATCTAAGATAACCTTCAAGGTTCCCTGTAGCGAAGATATGTTTCCTTCCATCTGTTATAAACACACATCCAAGGATGAGATTAGTTGCTTTGTGGAGGTGCTGGTCTTCTTTTATTGACTTTAGAAACAGTGTTGATTACTAGTTCAGACTTCTCACTTTGGATTGCTAAACTGGGATTTATTTTATCTAATTTGGGTTGTCTCCAGTGTAGAAGTTTGCACATTATTTATTTTCTAAATTCTCACTGAAGTCCATAGAGTTCTAGGAAATTATTAATTTTATCTTGAAACAGGCATCATATTAGCCTGGGAAACTGACCAACAGAACTCACTGACTGTATCTTCATTGAATAGAACAGAGATCAGGCAGTTCATGAAGACACATTTCAGGCAAAGATAGGTGATCTCAATCTGGTAATTAGCATACCAACTGTTCATATTTGCACAGTTCATAAAATAAAATGATGATTTCCCATTTTCTTTTCAAACTCAGCTCAAATTCAAACTGGACTTCTTTTTCAAGTAACACATTGACCATACAGACAAAGTTAAAATCTGGGTTATACACCACAGCATCACAGTAATTTACACAATGTGGTCTGCATTATCTCTAAATCAGACTAGGGATCTGTGTCCAAACACACAGTCAATTAAGTTATTTTATCATTAGACCTGAAATGCACATTACTCTTAGTAGTGCTGTTCAGGGGAGAGGTAAATCCATGTCAGGTATTGAAATAGGACAAGGATGAATTCAAGTTACTGTTATGTTCCAGTTTGGTTTTCCTAACCTGGCTATTATGAAAAATATTTCTGTAGTAATGTTAAATTGTACAGACAATATACTGCTCCCGAAGCCATAAAGACCTATTAAACATCACCCTTATGCTGCTATACTTACAGAAAAACATCAAAGAACCGCAGTACTTTAAATGTTTTATTTCATTGCCAAACGTTTATGTAAAATACAGCAAAGTAACAAATGTGATTATTCTTCTAGCTTTTTTCACGTTCTTCAGGTAATTTCTGATAATTTCAGAAATTCAGTATTGTAGGACTCACAGAGTAGAAGCCTGATGAAAGCTGAAAGCTTTGTGAATAAGGGTAAGAAAGAGATGGGATAAATTTAACCTGGTGATAGATAATAAAAATATTGTAGCTAAAAGTAGCAATCACTAATATGTACATTCTACTTGGAACATAGCTTTCTAAGTCTGACAGAATTTTGAGATATGTATTGTCTTTCCTCATGACTTCCACACTGAGGTACTGAACACAAAACAAATATACACATATGTCTACATCCAAAAATTCCCCCAGAGTAAATATGGAGTTTCAAAAGTCTGGGAAACCTGCAAGAAAGGACATCAAGATTGCTTCATTGACAATCCTGCTTTTTCTGACTTCTATGAGTACTCAAAATTGTGACTTGAAAGTCAAAATTTGTTGCCTGACTTGTAGATGAACTAGTATTAGAAGTAAATTGATTGACTTTAGTTTATCATCTGCGGACATGAGTCAGAATAAAGTCCAGAATTTGGATCAAATTCCCATTATTTTAGCTCCATAAAACACATCTAAACACTGTTACCACTTGTTTGGGCATAGAAGTGAGGAGCTATCAGTCTGTATACACATGGGAAGATTTGAATTTTTTATTAAGTAATTTTTCAAATTATCTCTGCACATTAAACATTAAAGATCACTTTTAAGGATCCTTCTGCTGGTACCTCCTCAACTATCTTAAATGAAGCTCACACAAGTAATAGAGTAGAAACATAAAGTCATAGAATGTCTTCAGTTGGAAGGGACCTTAAAGATCATCCAGTCCAATCCCCCTGCCATGGGCAGGGACACCTCCCACCAGACCAGGTTGCTTAAAGCCCTGCCCAACCTGGTCTTGAACACTTTCAGGAAAGGGGCATCCATAGCTGCTGAGGGGCAACCTGTGCCAGTGTCTCACTACCCTCACAGTAAAGAATTGCTTCCTAAGATCTAATCTACATTTACCCTCTTTCAGTTTAAAACCATTACCCCTCGTCCTGTTGCTACAATTCTTGATAAAACATCCCTCCCCATTTTTCCTGTAGGCCTCCTTGAAGTACTGAAAGGCTGTTATAAGGTCTCCCCAGAGAGACTGGATTAGCGTCTCTCAGCCTGGCCTCATAGGAGAGGTGCTCCAGCCCCCTGATCATCTTTGCGACCTTCCTCTCGACCTGCTCAAGCAGGTCCATGTCTTTTAACTAAACACAGTACTTGAACACATTAATGCATTGTTCAAAGAAAGAAGTGTTCCAGAATTTGATCTTTCCTCACAAATGATGGAAAATAATTTGAACCAGTGCTAAATTGTTAAGTGTGGATTCCACCACATTTCCTGAACGGGATCCTGCACTGCATGGTGTCTGCAAAGCCAATGGAGCCAGGTATTGTTACTTATTGAGTCCTGATGTATGGACAGTAACTCATGCCTGTTAAAGTAAGTTTTTATATTGGGTATTGTTACAAAGCATTGCAGTTGAGTTGACCTGGAAATCAAAGTCATAATTTTTTTATTAATTTAGATAACTAAATGCAGCTCTTACATGGTGAAACCTCCTTATGTAGCAGTATTTTATTTTTCCATATAGTAATGTATCCATCTACCTACACCAAAAGCCTTAAATTAATTTTCTCCCTCTATTATTACAATTCAAAATCAATTTTCCCTCAATTTACATTTGAAGAAAAAAATATCTGCAATTTAAAACATAACTAATCATCAAGATAGGTGATATGGTTATAAAATTCTTTGAGAGTATACTCAGGAAGGACATATCAGTTCTCTACAGATTTATGTTTCTCTGAGGAAATTACTATTTCCATTATATAAAAGTATTTATACCAGCATATCAGATATAGACACTTTAAGAAAAAGCAAGATGAAAGTCAGGTAGAGTCTGTTCTGCACAAGGTAACTATTGAATGCAAAACCAGGGCCTCAGGGACAGAGTCTGTTTCCAGAAAATATGGAGTGTTTTCAAGCATTTAACATTATCTTGGTTTGAAAGTGTTGTGAGTTCTGTTTATTAAAAGAAATAAATGTATTCTAGAATTTTCTTACAACAGAACTCTAATTAGAACAAACTTACCCTTATGTAGATGACTGAAGACCACTTGTGAATTCTGTTTTGGTAAAGAAGGAAGTGGAGGTGTGATAAAGTCTAAATGAGACTGAAGCTATGCATTAGCCATATCCCCTTTCTGTGCAAGTGAAAACTTCACTCTCAAGGAAGAATTAAAACTGAAGATTTAATCCTATTACTGTTGACTTCAGTGAGATCAGGTTTTCACAACAAATTATTGACTGCATAGAATAATTCTGTCTGGCTCATTCTCAGGGGCAGAAATGCATTTCTGTCCTCCACTTCTTCCTTTAAGAACACATTTAGATAAAAGATGATTACTTTTATTTCCCAATTGTATTTTTAAGGAACTGCACAAGCCTGGGAATTTAACAATGAATAAATATCTATGGAAGATTGTATATATTTCTTAATATGTATATAACACAATTTTAATCTTCTGAACAATTTCTTGCATTTAAAGGCATTTACAGATTCAATGGAAAATGTAGAAGACAATTTATTTTTAATCATCTATTGATATGTTGTTATTTTAACTGGATCTTGCACACCTGGTCTACAATAATAAATCAGTATTTTGCCTCAAGTTATAATGCGCATGCAAAGAGGCTGCTATGGATGTCAGCTCTAGAACACATAACTGATTCCTGTTTATCCTCATGTTAGTAACAAATCAAGCTGTAGTAAGAAAAAAAATACTAAAAATATATTTTAAATCTATATTTTTATAAATATTTTTGTGGCATAAATTTACTCTGCGGTAAGAACCACTTTAAATCCACTGTCAAGAAATTAGTACTCTCAATTTAACAACTGGAGTTGGAAGTTGAAACCACAAAGAACGTGACCCACTGTGTCTCCTACTGAACCTGTTCAGAGACGTGGGACTGTCACATTCACTAACTGTAGAGACTCCTGTGTTCAGCCCTGAGGGCTTTAGTCCTTGGGGGCAGCTAGGAAGGTCCTGTGGAATGTTGCTTGTGTCCACTCGCAGGACAAGTGAGTGATAATCTCATGTCACTGTGCA